CAGCGGTCAGCGCGCGTGGTTCCTGGTGGTGTGTACGATCGCCAGCGGTCAGCGCGCGTGGTTCCTGGTGGTGTATACGATCGCCAGCGGTCAACGCGCGTGGCTCGCTGCCGGCTGGCCCCAAAAACATCCTAATACATCCCGGCCCATTAAAACCAACAAGTACAAGTGCCGTCAGTCAAAACAGAGGTATACCTTCTCCATCGCCAGCTAATTTCTCTACGCTGCGTATATGCGGTGAATAGCTAGGCTTACATGCAGGGTGGATAGGGTGCGTATAAGGCCGCATGACACTCATTTTCTGAAATCTTCTATCTCTGTATCTACCTCTAGCTCGACGGTGCACATTTTCGAACACCACAGAAGCCCCCAGTAGACGGGACTGCATTTACTTGCATGCGTTCGTGCGAGCCTTGTGTGTTGCGTGCGTGCGTGTGTATGTGTGCGCGCGCGTATTGGTGCATGTTCCCGTGTGTGCATGTGCGTGTGTATGTTGGTGTATGTGACTGTGTGTGCATGTGGGTGTGTTCTTGCCTGTATGCGTGCGTGCGTGCTAAAACTACACTCTTCCAGACAGCACCCCCTCCCCCCGACTCTCTCCGTACCTTGCCACGCATATGGTGTGTGTTACGCGGCCCGCTTTTACGCAAGGCTGGTCATCCATCCGTCCATCAGCCCTCCGGCCATCGTACGCTACCACGTACGCTACCTACCTCTTCTGTTGAGCCTTGCTCAGCTAACCGAGGAATGATTGTTAGTACGCTGGGCATCTCCGGCCCTGGCATCGTGCCAAACTCGGTATGTTGTGTCAGTGCGGCGAAGGCCGGTTGTGTAACTCGACGGGAATCGGCGTTTATCGATGGAATGGTGGATAGCTTGCATGACCAGTTGGTCGTTGTGGTCAGACGCATACATTTTGGTTGTTAATGAGCGAGAGAGGATGAATTTTGTATCAGAACCTACGCCTGTTTTATTCTTGTGATCTGTAAATAGATTAATGATTGTGACAGAATATAGAGTTACTGATGATAGCGTAAAGTTGGTATTGCGGATGCACGCTGTCATGCAGTATGAATTCTGCTATTAGGGATGCACGCTGTCATGCAGTATGAATTCTGCTATTAGGGATGCACGCTGTCATGCAGTATGAATTCTCCTATTAGGGATGGGATCACGCTGTCATGCAGTATGAAATCCTGCCTATTAGGCGAATCACGCTGTTATGCAGTATGACATTCTCCTATTAGGGATGCACCGCCTGTTCATGGGCAGTATGAATTTCTCATTAGGCGTGCCACGCTGTTATGGAGTTGAACTTCTCCTAATTAAGGGATGCACGCTGTCATGCAGGTATGAATTCCCCTATTAAAGGGGATGCACGCTGTTATGCAGTATGAATTCGCCCGATAAGGATGGCCACGCGTTATGCAGTATGAATTCTGCTATGGGTATCACGCTATCATGCAGTAAGAATTCTGCTATTAGGGATGCACGCTGTCATGGCAGTAATGACATTCTGCTATTAGGGATGCACCGCTGTCATGGCCCAGAATGAATTTCTCCTATTAGGGATGCACGCTGCTCATGCGAGTATCGAATCTCCTATTAGGGATGCACGCTGTCATGCAGTATGGAATTCTCCCTAATTACGGATGGCCACGCCTGTCATGCAGATATGAATTTCCGTATTAGGGATGCAACGCTTTCATGCAGTATGAATATTATCTCCTTATTAAGTCCATGCACGCCTGTCATGCAGTTTCGAATTCTCCTATTACGGGATGGCACGGGTGCCCATTATCCAAATAAGCTCCGCCATTCAACGGCCCATACGTTAAGCATGTGCATACAAATTAATGTAGACATTGGCGTTTGCCAATCAAACGACCACAGCGTTGACATTGCATGAATAAGTTGTGTCATTTGGAGTTCCAATCTACGTAAAATAATAATGTCGTCTACGTAAATTAAGTTGTAATAACTGTAGTTTAACCCTAACGCCACTGAATTTTTACATATGTCGTTCCGATACATCATAGTTTTATAGAGTCGGTATGCTCGATTTAGATTTATTGCACGTGAATTATATTCACTATTTTGAAGGGCCATATCAAATCAAAACATTATGAATAAACCAAGTTTATATTTTACGCAGTAAATCTTCCCAAGAAAACCGGAGAAAGCATTTTCGCCACGCTATGCAAGAAAACGTTCGTTGCCATCTCGTGTCATCTTTATACAACAGAATGCGTTTTACTTGCTCAGTGACCGTGCGCGTGTCAGATCGTCATCTGTAGGTAGCATGCCTTGTATATGTATATCTATACTATTAAAGTAAGACATTATGGCTAAAAACTCGGAGGGGGTGAATTGCTGGCGTGAAACGTACACCACGTGTCGACAATGATTCCGTATCCTGCCTCTCAACTTTGGAAGAAAATGTAACCTCGCGAAAATGTGATTTTGTGAGGGAAACCTTGAAAATCTGTACACAATCTATAAATAGAACGAGGATATCTGTTGTCCATCTCCAACGTGTTAATCATGTTCTGTAACCATACCTCCCCAGTGGCCGAATGCATAAAGCATCGGACTTCAAAACCATTATTCTGGGTTGGAATCCCACCTCCGGAAATTCTGTTTCTTTACTTTTGGACTGTTAGTATGTACTTCTGCCACTTCACCGTTAATTTCAAAATTTAATTAATTTTTTACTACATTTAAACGTTTAGTAAAAATCTCAAAATAAACTATGGTTACATGATAATAATAGCGCAAACTGACGGAACACTTACGGAAGCCTATGTAGGTTACATATCAAAATATATATATTTTTATATAATTTCATTTATTATTTATTATTTTTTACTTTTTTATTTTAATGTCTTTTATCTTTGATTTATTATTATTTTTTATTCTTTGGGATGGGATGCGGATGGCATGGCATGGCCATGGCATGGC